TGTCCTGGGCGCGGCATCGGGAGGGGGGGCGCCGCTAGCAGAACCAGTGGCAGATCTGGGGGAGGGGAACAACTTAAAAAGAGGCTGCTACCGCCACAGTGATCACTCAGAGAGCTCTCCCCTCTTGGCCGTTCTGTAGCTGCAGCGGCCAAAGAGGAGAAGCGCTTCTGCTGCCTTGCTGTCTGCCTGCTTCACTAATTCACAGCTTTCCCCTCTCGACCACTCTGTAGCTGCGAGGAGAAGAATCAGTTTGGCTGTCTGCCAGTTTCATTATTCGGGCTCCTTGGCGGCCACCTGCAGCTTCCTCTGCCATTTCAGCTGCTACAGGCTGTTGCAGGGACCATGGCTGCTCCCCCCAACACCACCACCAGAAAGGAGGAGGACATGAGGGCAGAGCACCAGAATTAGATCAACTGTGTGCACTGTAAGTCCCAGTTCCTTCTGCGTTACACAGCTGACTTCTGTACTCTGTGTCACAGCTGATCTCTGCACCCTACATTACACCGCTGACCTTTGTACTCTGTGTCACACCGCTGACTTCTGCGTCACACCACTGACCTCTGCACTCTGCGTTGCACGGCTGACACCTATACTGTGTGTTACACAGCTGACCTCTGCACTGTGTGTCACAAAGCCGACCTCTGTACTGATGCGGTGACCCAGCACAGAGCTGAGGCTTGAAATCACTTCCTTCAAATCTCTCCTCCATGAGAGACTAAAAGGGGAACTGCCGGGAAAATAGAAGCAAGTCCAGAAGTGGCTCCTAAAATAACAAAGCAGCAATTAGCAGCTCTGATACTTTGCCGGGTGACAGAATGCTTTGCCACTGTGTATTACAAACCAGTGGTTCTGGATGTGCAGTTGGCCACAGGGGCGGAAATGAATAATTGGTAGTATGACTTCACCCACTATCTTAAAATGAGAAATAAACCCCTTAATGTTTGAATCTGTAATGGAAGTGAAACCTGCAAATACCTTCCATTTTTGTAATGATCTACCATGTTTCTCACTAATTAAAGGAATTTTAAGTTCCTTTGGGCCCACCTCACCATAACATATCCTATTATCTCATCAGTATACAGAACTTCTTTGGTTTGACACCAGCACCAATGCAACAACTGTAGTGGATTTACGCCCTTCATTTACATGGAAAAATCACAGACTTCCAAGTGATGTGCCTGGGAGTGGTAAGCTCAGCTCACCTTTTAAGCCATTGCAACAATAAACTGCATTGTGTTTTTATTATGTTTGTATTTCTTTTTCAGGTCCTAACATCATGACAATTGCAGTCTTCACTCTGGCAATTGCTATAATACTTATTCTCATCACTGCACTTCTTGTATTTCGGTAGGTCCTTTATTTAAAGTGCTGGGGACAAAACTTGATAATTTGCTCCTAAGAAGCAACAGCAAGTGCTGTCTGGTGCCTGCATGTAGTATCAGATGTTTTCCAGATTGTCCATGATCTCTTGTATGCTTTATTATGCAGATTCAAATTTCTACTTGGCGCCACCCCTCCTAAGCCATTTGATTGGCCTATCAGTGAAGTCAAAAGGGAGTAGGCCAAGCATTCACTTAGTGTTTGCATACTAGTTTGCCTTGGGTTTGGGGGTCCTGGGATACTCTACAACAGCGGTCTCAAAGTACAGCTGACAATTCAGGTACGGGGTCACGGACCGTGTACCTGACTTGCGGGAGCAGCTACATGGTCTGCATCTCCGTCGGATTCAGACCGCAGAGTTGCTCCTGTCACTGCCGGCATGCAGATCCTTTCAGCTGGCATCTTCACTGAAAGTCGGCCGAAAGGATTGATTAGTAAGGTCTGCACCTGACCTTACTAATCACCACTGTATCACCAGGGATCGTGCCTCAGCGCCTTCTCTATGCAGAAACATGTGCAGGTGAGGGAGCTCTTTGTAGGTGGACTAGGGGGAGTGTATTATTGTTGGGGGAGTGTATTATTATGGGGGGAGTGTATAATTGTGGGGGGGGGGCCAGGGAAGGTTTTGTGTTTTTTTGGGGGGGCTGAGGAATGGGGGGAGTGTATTATTGTGGGAAACTGGGGAATGGGGGGAGTGTATAATTGTGGGGGCTTGTATTTGTGTGTGTATATGTGTGTATCTATGTACTGTATGTGTGTATTAGGCCCCATTCATACCTATTTACAAGTGGCAGCTGTCACCCATTCAAGTTAAGGATCAGGTGGCAACCTCTGCATGTAAACACCGGCACACCGCATGTTAAGCTGGCCACACATCTTACAAACATCGCGATGGTTGTAAGGTCATTTAAAAAAAACATACGATCTGTCCATCTTGGACAGGCAGAATGTACTTGCGATAATCGCAAGCCCGCCCCGCTGAGGGGCGGGCTTCCGATGACCGCAATGCTGTACGGGCACTGTGCGCTTGCGCACACCGGCCGTGCGGCAATTATCTTACGATCATGCCACAAACCAGCCGAAAATCGTACGATTCTCGGCTGGTTTTTAAACATGTTCGTAAGACAAAAGTCGTGCGACTGTACAGTAGAACCGGTCGCACGCCTTCCACACACCTTGCGATTATCGTACGATTGCGGGATTTCCCACGATTATCGTACGATAATCGCAAGGTGTGTGGGCACCTTAATGGTATTTGTTATGATATGGTGGATGTGTATTTCTGTTTATGAGTGAGTGAATGTGAGAATCTGTTGGTCCTCTATGATTAAAATTAAAACCTGTAGGAAAAAGCCACACACATACTGACACTGCACACACATATACATGTATACATACTGATACGACACACAGAAACATTAACAAACATACTGACATCACTCATAGAAATCCTGACAATACACAAACCGTCATAAAAAAATATACTGACATTGCATACAAAGAAACCATTACAAATACATATCAACATTAGAAACACGGGCAGACATTAACACTGGTATCGTATATAGTTCAATTTTATTTTGAAGTATGAAATTTTTTTAAATAAATTCTTTATTTCAAGTTTTTTCAGAATTTCATTAAACATAACAGGGAAGTTGTGCCCAGGTGGACTCGCAGGTCCGGGCACGACAGGAAAAAGAAAATGCAAATAACACTTAAACAACATGACATCAGCAAACACTAAGCTTTTAGGGTGTAGGTTAACCAGGGGAACCCTGCCATTGTCCATGGAACCTATATGAATGGGGGGGTACCCTCTCACAGAGACCCCAGTATGAAGGAGTAGGTAGGGATCACCTCCAAGGTTGTGAGTGTGTCCACGTGGACCGGAAGGTGGGTTAGGTAGGAGAGGGCCGGACTATCTCTCAGGGGTAGGAGCCACCGCCAACGTCTCGCCGTTGGAGGGAGTCCTGGGGGTTTGGGAGTTTAGTTGGGCCGGGCCCTACGGGGCCTGATGGCCCTCCTTGAGGTCCGTGGGGAGAATGTAATCACGTTGTATTGCTAGTGATGCCAATGGCGGAGTAGGGAAGGGGGTTTTTAGTGGAGTATAGAATAGGGGGGGAAGGATAGGTAGGGAGGGGGGGATTGGGTGAGAGGACTGAAGGGAGGAAGAAATTGTTGATCACAGCTCGTCACTGCCAGGATTTAGGAATCCATAATCGCGTGGTATTCTGCAGAGGTGGTAAATTCTATCCACTAGTACCAGGAGGCCGAGAATCTGGAGGAGGTGCCCCGAACTGAACTGGTGAGGTCTTCCATATGTCTGATGTCATTTATTTTAGAGAACCAGAGCTTAATCGTAGGTGGGGATACCTGTTTCCACAGTAATGGGATGCACACTCGGGCAGCATTCAATAAGTGGATAAGGACCTATCTAGAGTAGCTCTTAGATGGAAATTGGTTGTGGTGAAGGAGGAAGAAGGCCGGTTCGAGCGGGACGTCGTGATCTGTGAATTTTTGAGCTATCATTCGAACCTGAGACCAGAAGGGGCTGACCGAGGGGCAGGTCCAGAAAATGTGGAGCATGTCCGCAGGGGAGGAGCCGCAACGCCAACATGAGTCTGGTACATCTCGGAACATCTGGTGTAGTTTGTGGGGGGTCCTGTACCAGCGCGTGAGGATTTTATATCCCAGCTCCTGATATTTGTTGCATATGGATGACTTCAGGGAGTAGCGGAGTAGTCTGTCTCTATCGGTCTGTGGGAATTGAAACCCCAGTTCTCGTTCCCAATGGTCAATGAAGTACAGTGGGATTTCTAGGTCGGTGTTAAGGGCCAGCTGGTAGCAAAGGGAGAGTGTTTTGGCTATCGGTCCTGTATCAGCACAAGTTTGTTCAAAGGTGGAGAGATTCCGTGAGTAGGTTTGGGGGTGCGGGAGGGATGACAGGAAGTGTGTGAGTTGTAGACATCGCCATGTCCCCAGGTTCATGAGGTCGGGATCAGAAGATTGGGCACCCAGGGCCTGCCAAGATGGATCATTCAAAAAATGCATCACTCTGAATTTGCCCCCGGCCAGAAGACGACGGAAACGTCCGTCCTCTAGACCTGGGGGGAACCCGGGGTTCCCTATGATCGGTTGCATGGGGGAAGGCTGAATGGACAATTTCGCCCGATCGAATGCCCGACTGGACACCTGCCATGTGGATCCCACCGTCGGGTGGGATCGGGTGGATCTGGGGATAGGCCCGGTGCACCACGGCAAGGCTGGTAGAGGAATTTCAGTCGCGGATTGTTCTAGAGCGATCCACGGCTTGGAATCTCCATGGCGGCACCAGTCTATCACTCGGGACAAGTGAGCGGCTATGTAATAAAGGTTAAAGTAGGGTAGAGCTAAGCCTCCCGCTGCCTTTGGGCGCCGTAAGATCGGCAGCCGTAGTCTGGGAACTCTGCCTGCCCATATAAATTGAGACACCACCGTCTGCAGGGACCGACAGAAGGTGCACGGAATCAATATCGGGAGGGCTTGGAAGGGGTATAGGAGACGTGGAAAGATGTTTTGCTTGACTATGTTGATTCGCCCTGTCCAAGAGAATGTGGAGCGTGACCACCCTTGAAGTGCGATGGGGAAGACCACCGGTATGGAAAGTTTTGCGAGAGTCGTGACAGCATGGGGGGTGGGATTGTTAGATTCAGGGCTACCGACTTCTGAGTGTTAATGTGGTAGTTAGATAATTCACCATAGTCTTGCAGCGCCGCCAGTAAGTTAGGTATGGTAATGCCCGGAGCCGTTAAAAAAAATAGTAAGTCGTCAGCGAATGCCGCAACCTTGTGTGTAGTCCCCCCCACCTTCATGCCCTGGATGTCTGGGTTGGCTCTGATGGTCCGGAGGAGGGGCTCGAGGGTCAATATGAAGATGAGGGGTGAAAGTGGGCAGCCCTGCCTGGTGCCGTTGGTTATCGGGAATGAGGTTATCGGGAATTGAGTTTTCACACAAACTCTGGCCGTTGGACGTGAATATAGGGCCATCACCCATGACAGCATGCCCGGACCCAGCCCCACATGCTCCATCGTGAGTCGGAGAAAGGACCAGTCAACCCTTTCGAAGGCCTTCTCTGCGTCCGTGGACATAATTAAACTCGGTATGAGGACCCGGGTGGTGTTATCCCTGGATGGGACAAACCCTGCCTGGTCTGCGTGAATCAGAGATGGGATATGGGGAAGCAGTCTCATGGACAGGACCTTGGCCAGTAACTTGGTGTCCACGTTCAGTAAAGAGATTGGGCGGTAACTGGGACAAACCGTGAGGTCTTTGTCTGGCTTGGGGATCACCACTATGTTAGCCGATAATGCGTCTCTGGGCATGGGTTTACCCTCTTGGATGGAATTCCATGCCGCCAGCATGGGGGCGGACAGTATAGCTGGGAAAGCTCTATAATATAAGAGGGTGAAGCCATCGGGACCCGGGGCCTTACCGGCACTGGTGCATTTAATGGCTGCCTCTAATTCCACTGAGGAGATAGGTGATTCTAGGGATTCTCGTACTTGAGGTGAAAGGGTGGGCATGGCTGATGTTTCCAAGTATGCCCGAATGTTGCGTTGCCGTTTCATCAGGGCCTGGGCGTCCCGGGGGACGGGGAGATTGTAGAAAACGGAATAATAGTCTTGAAAAGCCGCAGCTATATCTTCTGAGAGGTGGCACGTCCGGCCTGCGGAGGATTTAATGACTTGAATGAACGTGCAGGACCGCTGGTGTCTTAGAGCCTGTGCCAAAGAGCGGCTACACTGGTTGCCGAACTCATAAAAGTGGCGGCGGCACTTGGCTAGTGTAGCTTTTGCCCTATCCATGTATAGGGACCGTAGGGAGTCACGCAAGGAACGGAGCTGGGTGAGTAGGGAAGGGTCTTGGCGTTTTTTGTGGCTGAGTTCCAGGGTATGGATTTGTGAGAGAAGCGAAAGCTGTTGACCCAACCATTGTTTCTTGCGGTGGGTCCCTAGCTTTATAAGAGTACCCCGTATGTAAGCCTTGTGTGCTTCCCAAATGGTGTAAGGCGAGCAGTCCGGTGTGGAATTCTCTGTGAAGTAGAGGCGGAGGTCTCGTTCAATGTCAGGGGATGTCTCGGGGTCCTGTATGAGTGTCTCATTAAGCCTCCAGTTCCAACTGCGAGGCTCTGGGGGGCCGAGT